TTAGCCAGATGACCGTCTGTTGAAAGACCATTTGTCCGCTCTGCGTTCTGTCTCTGCAGTTATAAATAAAGAACAAAAAAGTCCAGACCTGCATCATTTGATTGATTGTATTCACAAAGGCCCTGGAGGAGGACGGACGTGTCCTTTATCTGGGAATGATATGGTGTTTGTTGGTGGATCGATTGGATTCATCAGGTAAATGTAAAATGCACACAGCTGAATCAACAATGACGAGAGGAAGGCGGGTGAGTGATGAGGACATGATGGGAGATATGAAGTACACATGTTCTGCAGATAACAATGTTTTGTCCACATGCTACATGAGACTGGATGATTGTGTCTTTTCACCAGTACATGGAATAAAATGAAGCGGCTCTTAGACAGCTTGAATGTACCAGTGGACGGTAGAAGACAAGGACAATTTAAAAACTGAATTCAATTTCAATTCAATTTTATTTATAAAGCCCAATATCACAAATCGAGACAATCCCAGCTGACACTGGGTGAGAGGCAGGGTTCACCCTGGACAGGTCACCAGACTATCACAGGGCTGACACATAGAGACAGACAACCATTCACACTCACATTCACACCTACGGACAATTTAGAGTCACCAGTTAACCTGCATGTCTTTGGACTGTGGGAGGAAGCTGGAGCACCTGGAGGAAACCCACGCTGACACAGGGAGAACATGTCAGAGCACCTGGAGGAAACCCACGCTGACACAGGGAGAACATGTCAGAGCACCTGGAGGAAACCCACGCTGACACGGGGAGAACATGCAAACTCCACACAGAGGGGCTCCCCTACCCTGGGTTCAAACCAGGAACCCTCTTGCTGTGAGGCGACAGTGCTAACCACTGCAGTGTCGCACTTGTAAGTTGTGATTGTCTAAAGATCAGAATGAAACTGTGCACAAAAATTTCTTAAAAACTGCACATGTTGTAATGAAATGAAACAAAGATTTGTTGCACATATTATCTTTTGAAGCAGGAAACAAAGTGAAACACTATCGACTCTAATATTGTTTGCCAAACCAGAATGCTCTCCCATAGCCTGCATCCACCAGTGCTCTGCAAAAGCAGCGTAGGCCCTGCTGTGCTGTCATGAACAAACTGTGCATCACACAGTGAAATAAGCACGCTGCTTCATGCACATCACAATGCAGCAGCAGATTGTCAGGTCAGTAAACAGTTCCTCTTCCGAGCTTTATGCTGGAGCAGTTTTCACTCCTCAGTTTTCCGCTCCACATATGAAGGTGATAATTACACAGCTACATGAGAGTTTTAGGACCGGCCGCTGAGTGAGGGATCCAGTGAGGCAGAATACGGGAGAGCAAGTGAGACAAAAAAATCTGGTGATCCATCTCTTTCTAAGGCTGAATCCAAATGAGCCCTCCTGGACTTCTGTTATACGTACTGTCATCATATGAAGTCTGTGAGGGCAAGTCTTACTTGTTACTCTTTTCAAAAGTAATGAAATTACTTTACTTAGTACTCCTTGCCAACAGTAATTCAATGCTCTACACATTATATTCTCACCCTCTTTGTCACCCGCTGTGATCCGTGCACAGGTGCAGTGGGTCGTCTCCAGATATCACCAGGCCATCCATCCTTGTGTGCGGCTCCAGAGCTCGTCTTTCAAGCTCTTCAGTTTTCTTGTCTTCCTCTGTGATCACAGCCTTCAGTTGTCGCACTTAATCAGTCAAATCCAGCAGGCCCATCCTTGCTTAGTTCCTCTGACATGAAGTTCAGAGACTTTTTAGCTTCTTCTATTTCATTGGTTGAGTATGTGCAACAGAAAAACAAATGTCTTGAGAAATTCCAGGTAATCCAGTGTCATCAAACACGCCATCAAAAGTGCCCAAAACTTAAAAAATAGCAGAAAATAACCCTGCAAGTTCAAATTTAATGTTCTTGTAAAGTAAAAAAAATTTACTTCCTGCTCGGATTTCAGATTATTTTCAGTATGTTTGATGGAGTGGAGGAGCAGAACAAGACGACTTAGGACTCTCGTCTTGGCTCGCCATCACGCCATGACCTTGACACACGCGCACTACTGTCATCTATACTCTGAGAACGTCCTGACTGAGTGGGGACGCTAGAGGGCGGCAAAGAAGACAACGTTGCTAAGAAGGATCATTTTTTGGGAAACTCAGCCCTGCAGACCAAAACATTTCCTAACTGTATTGGCTCATAGCTACATCGCCTAAGTGACAGAGGATGGAGTTTAACCAAGGGACTGTTAGACTACAACTTGACAAAACAATTGAACGGTATAGGAAACATGCAACATGTCTTCTACAGTGGAGTCACTCGCTGTCAAGCAGCTAAACGTTTTACAACTACGGTACTTGGATACAAATATGGAAAATGAGCCAAAGAGAACATTTGAAGAGCTACATGGTGATGTCGAGTCTGTTGCCCACCGCAGACATTGTCTGTCCACAACAAAAGCTTCCTCAGGATAACAACAGATATCACGGCACTGGATATAACGTTACTGTATTAAAGATCTACAGAAGCGCTACGGCTTAAAGGGAAATTTCGGTTTATTTCAACCTGTCTCCTATCGTCCTAAATTTGTTTCAAGTGACTGGTGACATAAAAATAATAGTTAGCATGTTAGCCGTTAGCCTAGATACAGCCAGGCGCATAATAGCGTCAGACCTGTTAAAACCTAAGTGAACAGGCAACCTTCAAGTGCAAAGTTAGTCCACTAAACAAGCTTTTTTGTCCATGTTGTCTTACCTTACCGGTGTGCTGCCATGTTGTTTACCATTTAGCTCTGCTTTCCAAAGCGCGGCTGAAATATCACGAGAACAAGCAGCAACAGCTGGAAGGCAGAACCGGACAGTAGCCTGAAAAGTTCATTCATTTATTTTATGAAAGATTTATAGAATAATGGCTGACTTTTTGCCAGACTTCGACTTTGTGGAGGAGGAATTTGATTTTGCAGAGTTTGATGGCCGCCCTTATTTATTTGAGCCAGAATACACTGACGAAGAGCTTCGTGAAACTGAAGAACGGAGGAGGAGAGAGCGAGAGGCGCAACACGTAGAGGACGAGAGAGGAGGAATGGCTGCTGCAAGGCTGCGTAGCTCTGGAGATTGGTGGTGTACCTGTGAATGCTGTGCCCCAGTGCCCACAGAAGAGGAATGCCTCTGTTGCAAGGAATGGGACCGGTTGCAGCCTTATTTTCAAGGTCTGGATGTGACCGAGGACGAGACTTTATCTAGAGCTCGCCAGATATATTTTGGCCGCGCTTTGGAAAGCAGAGCTAAATGGTAAACAAACATGGCAGCACACCGGTAAGGTAAGACAACACGTTTACATGTCGTTTTCTATATGTTCTCTGACATTTATCCTAACGATATGAGGTGGTCTTTGTGCAAAAAAAGCTTGTTTAGTGGACTAACTTTGCACTTGAAGGTTGCCCGTTCACTTAGGTTTTAACAGGTCTGACGCTACTATGCGCCCCGGCTGTATCTAGGCTAACGGCTAACATGCTAACTATTATTTTTATGTCACTAGTCACTTGAAACAAATTTAGGACGATAGGAGACAGGTTGAAATAAACCGAAATTTCCCTTTAATGTAACGTTACAGCACTGTGGTGAGGCCAGCAGGATGACAGTGACTTCAGAGATGGTGAGAGACGTGTTTCATTAAGATGCTCTGGTAAGAACTGTTCATATACCTCTATCTGACTTGACTATCTTTTATTGTTTAGGGCTAAAATGTTTTAGTGAAAGGGAACTTCAGTTTGTGAAGGAATACTGCATGCTGCACGCCGTTTTAAACCCTGGCCAAAAATAAAAGAGTAACGCACCGTTTGGTAAACGTAACTGAGTTACTGAATTTTAAAACTAACACGTTAGAGTATTAGTTACTGCCAAAACTAACGGTGTTACTGTAACGCGTTACTGCCCAACACTGCTAACCAACCAGTTGAATTGCTAAATAAAAAACAAATGCAGAAATGTTTGTAAATAATTATTGAACTATGACTCCTGCCTGTATATTTGGATATTAGCACTGCATGGCCTTTAGGCTTGTTAATAAAATGCATTTTGACGTCCCGCTACAGCCCATACTACATACAACATAGCATGCTAATAGGATACAAGAGCTGTTTTACACATCTGTAACTCTTGTGTTTTAGACAGCTATTGAAAAAATGATGTCACACGTCCATATTGCAATAAATTGTGGGTTATTAAATCAGTGAAGTCTGCAGAAAGTCAGCTTGGAGCCCAGTGTGGACTGGACCAACTGTGGATTAGATTCAGATTAGATTTAGAAAAAAACAAAGAATCACCAGATTTTCTTTTCCTCACTTGCCTCTCTGGGCCTCCGTACATATACAACAGAAAATAACGGTACAATAATAATAAAATGTGATAAAATGTCCCTCTAATTGAACTGAAATAAATCCTGTGATGGATCATAGTTCAGTGACAATGATCACATCATAATTGGTGTCTGCTGTTAACCAAAATAATTAAACTGTTTTATATAATAATAATTCCTGTACATGTTGTTCCTGTGATCTGGAAGGATCTGGTAAAGTCGATGAGTGTGAGGGGGTCCTCTGGGATCAGGACACTGGAGTGCTGGGTCTCCTGTTCTGGGATTTTAGATAAGTGAGGTTAGGTTTATTTAAGGTTACAATACTGTCCCTTTCTCATCTTTATCTTTCTCATTTTCTTTAAGATATTTTTTTAATTTCAATTTCACAAGTGTTTAATAGATTAAAAACTCTGACTGTTAGTTTGCCGTCGTTAAAAAAAATCACAGGAGCTTCACAAGTTCAACTTCACCGCTCAGATCTTTGGACCACGGCGTCATCTGGTGGCTGAGAGCATCTATTACATCCTGTGACTGCACCTCAGGATAAAACACCTCGTTATATGACTGAAACGTTTCCCCTCTCGTGGCAGCTGCATAGATTAAACACTCACACTGCCTCAGAACCAGTGACATAAAGTGGTCAGCATATTTGATCTCTCATTACCTTTATTACCTTCATCAATCTGAGAAGTGATTAAAAGGTTTCATTCACAGCACTAATGTTTCTGTCACACTGGCAAATAAAAAAATAAACCCATGTATCTTAGAGTTGACAAAATACAAATAAAAGGGACAAACACATACAAAAAATTAAATGATAATATAATGTCAGTTTCATTCAAGTACAGTTTAGACAACAAGTAAGAAAAATGTTACGTTAAATTGCATCTTTCACCTTTCCCTGTTCCCAGCCTTCATGCTAACCTAAGCTAACTGGTTCAGCTTCATATTTACTGTACAAACATGAGGGTGGTATCAATCCTCTCATCTAACTCACCATAAGAAAGCGACAAAACATAGTTCCCAAAATGTTTATCTGTTCCTTTCAGCATTCATTCGATCACTCCAACTATCTAAGATTGATCGTTCTCTGGAAGTGAGGCAAAGGTAGCTCTGAGCCTAAGTGTCTGCTTTATCGTCATAACCAGCTAACTTAGGAGCATGTTCGCACACTGATGATGGACCCGGGCCACCCCAACCTGAATGCAGGGTAGAGGGGTTCGGTGAATGTAGAGTGGAAGGTGTAGAGGTGAATCAGCGAGTCAGAGGAGACTCTGTAGAAGGACAGAGTGCCGGCAGGCCAGTCCAGATACACCGCTACTCTGCGAGAGGGCGAAGCCAATACGTCTGTTTCTCTGTTATCGTGAAATGCAGAGTAACCATCGTCAGAGCAGAACAGACTCCAGGACTTTTCATTCCAGCCAAGCCTGCAGTCGTCACCTTTTCCACTCCTTACGATTCCTCTGTAAGTTACTCCCATGTACACTCCTCCCTGTCGTTCCACCTCCCAGTAACAGCAACCAGTCAGACCAGCTCTGCACAGCAGCTGTTTCCAGTAGTCAAATCTCTCGGGATGATCAGGAACTGACAGATTCTTTGGCAACAGTGTTACTTGTTTGTTGTCCTTGGAAACATAAAGCTTTCTGTGTGCAGTGTTCGGGTCCAGTGTGAGTTCACAGGCATCTGATGGAAACAATTCGTCACATCTCAGCAGCAGGTTCAGGCTTGTTTTGTTCCTCATAACAAGTTATCAGAGTCGACTCAGTGATTACAAAGAACAAAGTAAATTTTTGTCTTTACTTACACTTCAACAGACCGGATTTCAACCTCTGCTCTCCTCCATGGTCCATCCTGGAGAAAGAAACAAAGCTGCTCCATCATGTTGGAAAGATTAACAATCATTAACCAAACAGAAAAAAACCCACATGACTCAAAACAGGAGCTACTCAGACTTGCTGCCACACTGACCAGTGCATCTTTTAAAATATATCTATATATATATTCAGCTTCAGTCCATTTTGTTGGCGTTTAGCCTCAAAAACAACATCTGGGAACTTTTATAATGAGGACTAGCAGCTTTACAGGAGCTCACAGACAACGATTATCAGTGTGTCACAGTGATGGCTGACAATATTAAAACAACTACAGTTTGTATTGTTGCACAAATATATGAATTCAAGCACTTTCAATAACCAAATGTCTGTTTGTGTTTATTTTTATAAACCTTTCAAGACCTTAATTTCTCCACTCAAATTAAAGAACTGTCAGGACCTGTGGGAACCCTCTCTGGAATAGCCCCGCCCACTTTTAAATTCTATGTGGAGTGGAGATCAAAGGAATTGAAATTGGTAAGTAGCCCCAGGATATCACATAATTTCAGTCACACACTAGTGTCGCGTACTTAGTCTATTATACAGACGATCTTACACACACACAGTGAGTATTTCTGAGTCAAGCAGTCTGTTGGCCATCTATACACATAACGATGGACAAAAGAACAAACAACAGACAGAGACCAGCTGGTGATGCTGCGGGCCGTCGTAGACCTCCACAACATCACCACCATCAGCCCAACAATGCCTCTTGGGGAGACCTTGTTGATGAGGAAAACCAGAAGTTATGCCACATCATCAAGAAGAAGAAGGACCAGATCAAGCGTCTGGAGGAGCTGCTCGAGGCCAGAGACAGCGGGTTCAGCTCTGAGTTCAAAAAAAGCGCTGAGAGAGTCTGTGAGCTGGAAACACAGAACTACGACCTCACATTGTCTCTCCAGCACCAAGAGAAGAACAGCAAGCAGCAGTTTGAGGAGATGGTCGCTAAGTATGAGGCCGAAAAACAAACTGCATCAAACCATATCAAGCAGGTTTTGAGGCAGGAGGTCGAGAGCCAGGTACGGCGGGAGTACCAGCAGAAGGAAGCCCAGCTGAAAAAACAGATCCATCAGATGGGTGCTGAACTCCAGAAAATCCGCGAGGAGCAACAGAGTCTCCTTCTGACGATGTCAGACGCGCACACAGCGATGACCACCAAAGATGCTGCTCTCCAGCAGAGCGAGGAAGCCTGGCAGGCTAAATATGATGCTCTGACTGAGAAAATGGAAGAAAACACCAAGAAATGTGAGACGCAGGTGAATGAATTCACCATCAAGGCCTCTCTGATGGAAGAGCAAATCCATCAGAGAGACCTTGAGATCCTGCGTCTCACCGAGGACAACAACTGTCTCGCTAACAAACTTACAGAGACAGCACAAGAGCTGACCTCCAGAGCTGATGAACTCCTCCAGAGCCAGAGAGCCTGGGAGGAGAAACTCCAGACTGTCAAGGACAGCCTCTACAAAGAGGCTGAAGAACGTCAACAGAGCTGGGAGTCACAGCAGACTCAAATTAGAGTCAAGGTCGAGGCAGAGATCCAACAGAGAGACGCTGAGATCCTGCGTCTCACCAAGGACAACAACGGTCTCCTCAAAAAGCTCTCGGAGAAAACAGAAGAGCTCTCCCGTAAGGATGATGAACTCCTCCAGAGCCAGAGAGTCTGGGAGGACAAGTGCAACACTCTGGAAACCAACATTACAGAGGAGCTTGCTGAGAAACATCAGGCAGAAGTGAAACAGCTGATGGGTGAGAAGGTGGAACTGGAGGACCTCTGCTTGTATGTCAATAAGCAGAGGAAACGCTTCTTGCTGTTTCCAAGGAGGTCTTCAGACGACAGAGAGACCCAGCTGCAGAAGATGAAGAACAAAATGCAGCAGAAGGCAGCAAAAGCAAGAGGAGCTGAGAAGATGGAAGAAGAAATGGAGGCTGCTGATTGTTCAGCTCAGGCTGGGCATCAGTAGCTCCCATAGCTTCTTCCTTTTATGTGGGGTTTTCTCCTGGTGCTCAGGTTCGCCCGTAAGTGTTAATCACATTCAAAAAAAATGCTCTAGAAAGAGCAGACGAGAAGAAGGGGGTAGAGAAGGAGGCAATTGTTGCCCAGCTCAGCCTGAGCTGGGCAACAATTGCCTCCCAGAGATGTCTGTGTCCTCCAGGTAATGGTACTCATAAGTGCTATATCGTAGGCAAAGGGACACAGGCAAATCCATTTGCCTACGATATAGCACTGACATCTTCTGTAGATTATTATTATCTACTCATGGGTTTTCTCCTGGTACTCAGGTTTTCCCGCCAATGTCAATCATATTAGACTATACCATCATTAGTCCTAATAAAATGACATCAAATTGGAGTTCAATGTTTCTATGTCTTTGAATGAAAACAAACTGCAAAAATACAATGTTATGACATTATGGAAGGTAAAAAGTGTAAGAACTGGTATCTGTTGAAGTTATGGTTTAAACACCTCTGAAACTGATCAATGAAACTGATCAATGACAAAACGATCAGTGTAATAAAAGATGTTCCAAATGGTATTTAAGGTGCTGGTTAACAACAGGAGCTGGTTCTGTAGTAAACAGGAATGTAGCCAGACCAAAAACTCACAATGAAAAGTTCATTATATATTTATCTGTCTGAGTCACTGTTGTTGTTTAAAGAGGCAGCAGATAGGATTCTTTTTTTTTTAGCTTGGCGCCACCTAGCATCAGTGGTGCTGCGTCGCACTGTCACAACGACCAAATTGACCGTGGAGATCAGAGCCTACCAGAGCCATACCTCTATGTATATGTAGAATGAGAAGGTGTGTGGACACTCTACTAAATAAATGAGTAAAGAGACTGAGCAACAAGAAAAAACAAATAGTAATGCAAATAATTATAGCAGAATGTACAGTACCAGTACAAACAACTCACAGTAAATGATACCAGTATGCAGTGTGCTGTGGTCTGACCAGTCCATCATACACGTAATGTCCTCTGGGATAAAGAGGTGAAAAGACCATCCACACTGTAACCAGCTCAGTGTTTAGAGATGTTTTTAGCCGTTTTGTGTGGCTTTTTGGAATCAAGGTTGTTTGAACCATTAAGTCTTTCCATACCTGAGATTTTCCAGTCTCCAGTTTGGATCCTCCAGTCCAACAGAGAGCAGCTTGACTCCTGAGTCTCCTGGATGATTGTAGCTCAGGTCCAGCTCTCTCAGATGGGAGGGGTTGGAGCTCAGAGCTGAGGCCAGAGAAACACAGCCTACCTCTGTGACCTGACAGCCTGACAGCCTACACACACACACACACACACAGCTCTGTATCAACACAATGTGGGTAGTGTGTGCAAATTAACTGAGGTAAACTTCCCTCCTTCTAACCAGTGCATTGATATCCCTCCCTCCCCATGGATGTATGAGGAGAACTGGATACAGGATTAAATGTTGGGCCTCATTTGTTCCTATCAAAGTTGCCAACACATCCTCACTGCCAACTCGTGACATGTCCACGTTTGGTCATGAAGTTTCCACGTCCACATATGACGTCCAAGGTACCCTGGGTGTTACATGCATTGTCTGTCTTCAAAACACACTTCTGTTTTCACAGGAAATGTACAGTTTGCACACAGTCTCTTTCAAAATAAAAGCACTACATCAGTACAACACCGCAAATTGACTTTTCTTTTCCTTCAACAACAAAAACAATCAGAAATACTTTATTGGCTAGAGTGGTTAGATTTAGGAAAAAAAGAACTGGGTTTGGCTTTAGAATCTCATGGGATGTGAACACCACTCTCAGGTAAAAGTCAGTGTTTGTTGGACACGTCCCACCCGTCCCAGTTGGACTTTCGTTGTCTTAACTTTCATCCTTGTCCCACCACATTTCCCCCTGACGACACCAGGTGCTGTTAAACTATAGCTGTGTTCGAAATCGCTCCCTATCACGGATATAGTGCACTATATAGTGTGTTCGCCATTTTGTAGTGTTGTTCGAATTCTCCGCGGTTAATTTCATTCACTATATAGTGGACTATAAAATACCCACAATGCACAGCAAATGTGAGTGAACAAACGATGTACCCTACATTTTACTCCCGTATACCACAATGCAATGCAGCTGTCTTTTGCCAGAGGAGGAGAAGAAGAACAACCGCAAAGATGGCACAAAAAAAAAAAAAAACGAATAGGATGCTAGCCAATAACGTTAGCTCACGAGCTAACAATAGCCACTTAGCTTGCACGAGCCAGGTAGCTTGTCGCTCGTGCACTATCGTGGGCTATTACAGCTCACAATGCAGACACACAACCGTAGCTGACAAAACCAAACGTCCACACCATTGACATTTCAACAATTTATTGACAAAAAGTACAACCACCATACAGTTAGATCATACTCAAAGCGCCCGGTTTGTTTACATGATGCTCGGCGCGTCCACTTGCGTCACAGGAGTATGTGGCGCAGCTACTGACGCAATGACGTTCAGAAAATTTCAGGTAGTGTTCGAAATCTCGTTCAGTCGTTCCCCATGTAGTGCACTATATAGTAAACACGAAATAGGGAATAGTGAGTGAGTGAGTGAGTGAGCGGACGGTTTCAAACACAGCTTATAACGGCAACCGGCCACATATCATGCTGACGTTAGAGAACACCTTTTTTCATTGGTTTCTGACGCCAGAAGTCACTGCCCAAGCACCCGATTTCGATGACTTTGGAGTGAGACTGGGCTCAGGTTGCTCAGTGGTGCGTGAAGCCAAAATGGTTCAACTGTTGGGTATAAAATTACCCAGATGATCCACGGATTATCTGCACTACTTCCACACTACTAGAGCTCTGCCAAGTGCGACCGAGTGGCTAACTTCTTGTTTAGCGCTATGCTAACTTTGGATTTGGATGAAATGATTTAATGTTGCGGCTCTTCTAGACTTTTTCTAATGTTGTCAGACTAAATAAATGAAATCCTGATAGTGAAACAAATCATTTTGCAGGGATTGTGGCGCTAAAAGAAATGTATCCAGTGATTTACAGACATCTCTTTTTCCATGTAAGTCAATGGAAAAGTCTTTTTGGGTCAGCAGGGTGTCACGGAAGGAAAGACTGAACCATACACAGAATCCATAAACCAAAGAACAAGAAAGTGAGCTGTTACATGATCTTACCGAAGAGTTTCCAGTCTGCAGTGTGGATCCTGCAGTCCAACAGAAAACAGCTTCACTCCTGAATCCTGCAGGTCGTTGTTACTCAGGTCCAGCTCCGTCAGAGTCGAGGAGTGGGAGCAGAGAGCTGAGGACAGAGCCTCATAGCTCATCCATGACAGCTTGCACATACTCATCCTCGAAAAGCATAAAATGATTTGATTTGATATTTTAAAGGTGACACTGTGTTATTTTTATTCTCTCTGACAAGGGTGCCTTTTAATCAAACGATCCAAAGGGATATTCTTAGCAAGGCGGTTTAAATTACTATGGAGACAGAGCGATGAAGTTGAGTCTATCAATAATAATAGCGTTTACATTACTCAACAACAAACAAAAATGTCTATAAAGACGTGTTTTTGGAGTCTCTGGATTAAATTGGAGTTAATTTGATTGATGGACACAGACTAAACCAGCTCAGCTCAACTCAGATCTATTTCTGAAGCACATTTAAAAACAACTCAATCTTTTTTTCCTTCACTTAAAACTATTTCTTTAAATCTAAATAAATTGACAAAGCAATATTGAACATTGTGTCTCATGATGATGAACCAGAAAAAGACATCCTGTACTTCTCTGATGGGACAGGAAACACATACGGTGCAATAGTGGAAACTCTTGATATGTATTTGTTACAGTCGAAAACATTGGAAATTGGTAATGATCGTGTTTTATGGGCCCAGGACAGAATTTTCACTAACTGATTCCACCCAAGGGGCAAATTCTAGTTTGGTATAATGTAAAACTCTTTATCTCAAGATGATATTTCAACATATTAACCCTTGCTCCAGTGGCAGCTTAGTCACAGATATCAACCTTTAATGGCACCAACAGTAAAACAAAGAATGAAAAAGCAGAGGCCTGTTTCAAGTTTGGTCTCATTAAAGGTCTCGGTGTGAGTGCTGATATGCATCACGGTTGTCATGGACAAACAAATTTGTATGTGCAGAAAACTGAATGAAAATATGCTTTGTAACCTAATTTTATGAACTATGTTTGGATTCAAAAAAGGGGTACGGGTAACCCCTAGGTGCTCATATACATTCAGGACAGGTCGTATCTGATGGTTATATGAGATAGAGATATGCAATTCTCTGTGTGATGCTGTGACATCACAAAAAAACTATTACTTCAGCAGTTTTCCCTGGTTTAAACCACAGATTGACTGGACCACCAAGTCAGCTGACCTGAGGGACCTGGGGGTAGTATAACGGACCGTATTGCAAACAACCGTATTGCATACATAAAGTACAGAGAGTTAGCATTAGCATTAGCATAGCGAAGGTTTTGACAGCAAACATGGTAGAATGCAAAGTTAAAAGCCATGCCTCTTTGCAATGCACTTTCTTTCTTACCTTAGAGTCTGGAGTGTACAGTGTGGACTCTCGAGTCCAGCAGAAAGCTGCTCCACTCCTGAATCCTGCAGGTCGTTGTTACTCAGGTCCAGGTCTCTCAGACTAGAGAACTGGCAGCTGAGAACTGATGCAAACTCTTCACAGCACCTCTCTGTGAGGCTGGTTTGATTCAACCTGGTAAAACAAGAGAAATAACCCTTTCAGACCTGATCACTCTATGTGAGCAGTATCGGTGTCAGTAGCCCTTTTTACACAGAGATGGCGCTACAGAGCCGCTACCAAGTCCTTTCTTTATGCCAACAATCATTTTGTCCCTGTTATATGGTGACTGAGCTCATCTTCTGCCCGGAGGGTGAGGAGCTCCTGAATCTCACTGTTTTCCCAATTTTCAAACATTTGAAACAGCTGCTGTTCTTCTTTGAGTTAGCTGCTAAATGCTACTCGCTGTTTTTTAAATCTCCTGCGGTTGGTCACTTGCTTAACACGTCATCACAACGTCACACCCATCCTGCCCATCAGTGTTAATTTCATGGATGAAAACTAGATGATGACAAGCTAAAAATAGATCTTGATAATAAAAACTAAGACGAAATCTGTGTTTCACTTTCAGTGATGAGACGTGACAAAAATGTTCATGGTGGACTATTGGACACTGAAAGCTGAGAACAGCCGTGCTTGTAATGATCTTCAGATGCCTGATGAGCGACAGGCTGGTAAACTCCAGTAAATAGTCTGCACCAGGATGTTTGGGTTGGTGCAAGTTGTGAGCTGTAATTCAGCAGTAACTAATCAGCTGTGTGTGTCTGATTGTGGATGGTGGAGCTGCTGAATGGATTTGTCAGTTGCAGCGGTGGCTGTTAGCAGCTAGCTCCGCTCGCAGACTTCACAGCTTCACCCCGCAGGACTCCACTCAGTCCGGACTGGAGAAGGTTTGTGGGTTGATGGTGTTTGACAGGCAGGTAGGAGGCTCAGTTATCTGTGAGTTAAAGTTATTTTGTTCGAAGAGAGCAAAGATGATACAACCAAATATAGCACAAACAGCAGAAGCATCACATTATGATCTAACCTGAGAGTTTCCAGTGTGCAGTGCGGATGCTCAAGTCCAACAGAGAGCAGCTTCACCACTGAATCTTGCAAGTTGTTGTTACTCAGGTCCAGCTCCTTCAGGTTAGAGGACTGTGAGCTGAGGACTGAGGGCAGAGCTTCACAGCCTTCACATGACAGCTCACAGCTGCTGAGTCTTCAGGAGAAATAGAATATTTTATTCTTTAAACAGAAAACATATGTAAATAAATAGTTTTCTAAACACTGCTAATCCCAACTAACAAGGGATTCAACATTCTGAGCACCCCTGGTCGAAATGTCCTTTACTGTGAATATTTAAGTAGTAGAGGATGAACTGATCTCCAAAAGACTTGAAGTTAAAGATGAAACATACTTTTCAACATTTTAACCAAGATCAGTGTTTTAGAGTGAATAAAATTAAAGGAGCACCATGCTAAAGTTTGGGCACCCCAAGACATTTGAGCTCTCAGACAACTTTCCCAGAGTCTCAGAGCTTAATGAGCTTGTTCACAGTCATTGTTAGGAAAGGACAGGTGATGCAGATTTCAACTGACTCCTGAAACCTTGTCCTAACAATCAGCAGCCATGGGCTCCTCTAAACAGCTGCCTGATGAACTGATGCCCACAGAGCAGGAGAAGACTTTAAGACTATACTATCTCTGAACACATCCAACCTTGAAGCAGATGGGCTACAGCAGCAGAAGACTGTAAGAAGATAGCAAAGTGTTTTCAGGGAGCTGTCTCCTCAGTTCGTCATGTCATTAAGAAATGGCAGTTAACAGGAGCTGTGGAGGTCAAGCTAAGGTCTGGAAGACCAAGAAAACTTTGCAAAAGAGCTCCTCATTGTTAGAGGAAAGAAATTCTCATTTCTCTTAAGATATATTTCCTCTCCTCACATCTCTCCCTGCATCTTACAAGGTTGGAGCTACGATGTGAGGAAGAGACGTAAATCAGGGACACATGGATGTGTGATGAGATAATGGGATGAAGTCCCCTGCACTGCCATTTCCTCTTCATCCACCAGACGTCCCAGAGGCCGTTTACACGTACACTGTGATTTTGATACACGGAGACATCTTCCTTCCTTTGTGCCCTTCGTTTACACGCAAACGGAGATTTCTCCTTTGAAAACGAGTCTTTCTAAAAACTCCGGCCAGAGTGGAGATTTTGGAAAACTCCGGTTGCGCGTTTGCATGTAAACTGAGATAAACTGAGATAAACGGAGTTATAGGCAGCCGACATCACAGTATGAGCCGGAACTTAAGCCTGTGTCAAAAGTGCAACATATGTTGCTATGGTGACAATGGATACATGGAAGGCTTGAGCTTCTCGTTACACTGCCACCTACAGGTTTGGCATGCTCTTGTGTATATATACACGGGTAAGTGTAAACGAAGACCTTTTTGAAAACGGAGACGGTGAAATGTCCGTTTATGAAAATAGCCAGCCACGTGTAAACGGCCTCTCAGACTTCACCTGACTCCCTTCTTCACACCTGCCCTGAATTCCCTCGTCTGCTCTGCAGTTGTGTGGCCTCCCCGCCCACCTCCTCACCTGCACCTCATCCCCTCATCAGCTGCTCTCTCCACATATACCAGCCCAGATTGTTTGTTGCTCTGTTTGTCTCTCATGTGCTTTGTACTTCTGCTCCAAGCTACCTGTGTCTGTCTATAAGCCTTTGAGCTCTAATGAAACACTGAGATCCTCTGCTGTCTGCAGTTGGGACCTCCCCTTGTGTCTCCTCATACTCATGGCTGTGAAAACCTCCTCCCCAAAAACCGAAGTAAATATAGGGGCAAACTTGTGGAACAAACATCTCTTCCCTTGCTGTCCTTTCATAACCCTGAGCCTCATGGTCAGGTATGCAGGGATGAAGGTTTGAACTCTGACCTGAGAGTTTCCAGTGTACAGTTTGGACTCGCCAGTCCAGTAGAGAGGTGCTTCAATCCTGAATCCTGCAGGTTGTTGTTACTCAGGTCCAGCTCTTTCAGACTGGACGACACAGAGCTCAGAACTGGGGCCAAAGCTTCACAGCTTCTCTCCGACAGCTTACAGTGACTGAGCCTTCAGACAAACACGTAATCATTACTGTTGGTTTTAATGAAAATGACCCAGGCTGTGTGTAGAAAGCTGGATGCATGGAATGATAATTGTGATAACATGTATTCTTTGATTAAATACATTTATATAGGTAGTATAGTACAGTGTCCTGAACACGATATGCGACTTGCAGGGTAACCATTCACAACATCCCAAATCCTGACCTGAATGTTTTCAGTGTGCACTGTGGACCCTCCAGCCCAGGAGAAAGCAGCCATACTCCTGAATCCTGCAGCTTGTTGTTACTCAGGTCCAGCTCTATCAGACTGGAGGATCTGAGGACTGATGGGAGCTCCTGACACCATGTCTCCGTGAGGCCAGTTTGTATTAACCTGGCAAAGTTGATAAAAAATACTTTCTTTTATTTTAAGTGTGAAGCAAATGATGGAGCAAGCAATGTTTTATTTTACACAGACTCAACCGATCCAATCATGAAACAAAAATGTTGGCATTGTACGTTTCTGCAGCCACAGATTAAATACATGCAATTTTGTAGCTGATAAGCTGAAACTTAACATTTCAACAATGCATCGGTTAATATGTGTTAGGTTTGGGCACAAAAACCTCTTGGTTATGGTTTCAGAAAACATCATGTCTGGGCGTAAAATACCTTGTTTTTAAGGCACGATCCTCACTGGAAATACAGTGATGTCTCTGTGAAAAAATATCTACCTATTGTGGAGCTATCCTGGCAGGAACAACAGTGACGAGTGGCTAAAAACACTCATGTCTGGAGGCTGGAGAGCAGCATTTTGATGGAGGTCTGCAGTGTTTGCTCCAGTGTGACTTTGGTGTCCTGCTCTAGTTTGGAGAACGTGAGACAGCGTCTCCTGTCCTCTGTCAGATAATGTCCCACTCTAGTTTGGAGGACGTTAACTCCACTCTTCCTGCTGTACTCAAAGGTTCCTCAGCTTTATGCTTCACTTCTCTGTAGAGCTTGGGTACGGCTGTGAGGGGGCGGAGTCACATACCTGGGTTGATGTGTTTTTAGCATGTAACAAAAGCCTTGGTTTTCAGCAGCGCTGTATGGACGCAGATCTTTGGACATGAAGTAGGTGATGGACTGTGTTATTGTGTGATGGTAGTTGTGTCCAGCTCACTGTGTCCTGTGTTGGTTGATTTTTTTGGCAAACAGGACTAGCGTTAGCTTGGCCGTTAGCGGCTAACGCTATCTCTGGATGGTGGCCTGTGAGGTGAGCCCTCATGTTCGTTATTCCCAGAGTATTTTATTCTCATATGACACTGCTGTAAATCATGTGTCATCGCCAAGTCCTCCTCTCCTTCTGTGTTACAAAATCCAAAATAAGTCCACATGTTTGATTTACAACAGCGTATTTCTGATCATCATCCACTGGACCGAAAAAGCAACTGATTTCATTATTCTAGTTGAATTAAAATGTGTATTTGCAAAAATTAATAATGTATAAAATAAAAGATCGATACTTCATGTATCGAAACAATCTCGCCACACAAAATATGGCGACACTATGCTGTATTGGTTGTTTCTCTGTGCATGAAAACGTAGTCAGTGATAATTCCTGCACTCATGGAAGTGGATTAAAACAATAATACACAAAGGCATCGTGATTTCTTCTAACCTGAGAGTTTCCAGTCGACAGCTTGGACTCATCAGTCCAGGGGAGAGCAGCTTCACTCCTACGTCCTGCAGGTGGTTGTTGCTCAGGTCCAGCTCTCTCAGATTAGTGGACTGGGAGCTGAGGACTGACGCTAGAAGTTCACAGCTCCTCCACGACAGCTTGCAGCCACTCAGCCTGAAGAAGAAGTACCGTTAAAAAAACCTAGATATTTTTCTCACTTGCAGGAAATACGATATTTATGTTTTCATATTTCATTATCTACACTTACAAAGATTTATTAGAGGCTTTGACCACTGGCATCAGCCTCAGAAGACCTTCCTCTGAAGCGGAGTATTTATTTAGGTCGAACACGTCCAATTCTTTCCCTGATGACAGTAAGATGAAGACCAGAGCCGACCACTGACCTGGAGACAGTTTCTGTGTGGACAGTCTACCTGAGCTCAGGTACTGTTGGATCTCCTCCAGTAGAGAATGATCATTCAGCTCATTCAAACAGTGAAACAGGTTGATGCATCGCTCTGGAGAGGGAGTCTTTCTGATCCTCTTCTTGATGTACTGGACCGTCTCCTGACTGGACTCTGAGTTGCACCCTTTGTTTGTGAGTAGGCCTTCGAAGACACTCTGATTGGTCTCCAGTGACAGACCCAGGAGGAAGCGGAGGAACAAGTCCAGGTGTCCCTTTGGGCTCTGTAAAGCCTTATCCACTGCACTTTGGTAGAGATGTGTGAGTCTGGATTTGCTTTTTATCAGTGTTGACCATTTGGATGTTGACTGTGGCTCTGACAGTACATTTACACCAGTGTTGATGAAAGTCAGGAAGACGTAAAAGGCAGCCAGAAACTCTTGAATGCTCAGGTGGACAAAAGAGAAAACCTTCTCTTTGTAGAGCCCTTGCTCCTCTTTAAAGATCTGCGTGAACACTCCAGAGTAGACGGAGGCAGCTCTGATGTCGATGCCACACTCTATGAGATCTGCTTCATAGAAGATCAGCTTGCCTTTCTGCAGCTGTTCAAACGCAAGTTTTCCCAGACTGACGATCATCTTGCTGGTCTCTGTGTTCCACAGTGGATCTGTGTCAGCCCCTTCATGATATTTGATATTTGCCAGCTTGGACTGAACCACCAGGAAGTGTGTGTACATCTCAGTCAGAGTCTTGGGCAGCTTTCCTCTGTCACTGGTTTTCAAGACATTTTCCAGAACTGTAGCGATGATCCAGCAGAAGACTGGGATGTGGCACATGAGGTGGAGGCTTTGTGATGCCTTGATGTGGGAGATGATTCCGCTGGCCTGCTCCTCCTCTTTGAATCTCCTCCTGAAGTACTCCTCCTTCTGCAGGTCAGTGAACCCTCTCACCTCTGTCACCATGTCGACACACTCAAGAGGGATCTGATTGGCCGCTGCAGGCCGTGTGGTTATCCAGAGGTGGGCCGAGGGAAGCAGTTTCCCCCTCATGAGGTTTGTCAGCAGCACATCCACTGAGGTGGACTCTGTAACATCAGTCAGGATCTCATGGTTGTGGAAGTCCAGACGAAGCTGACACTCGTCCAGACCGTCAAAGATGAAGACGACCTTGAACTTGTCGAACATGCAGATTTCTGCTTCTTTGATCTCTGTAAAGAAGACATGAAGAAGTTCCGCTAAGCTGTAGTTTTTTCCACTCAGCAGATTCAGCTCTCTGAAAGTGAAAGGGAATGTGAACTGTACGTCGTTGTTGGTTTTGTCTTCAGCCCAGTCCAGAGTGAACTTATGGGTTAGGACGGTTTTCCCAATGCCGGCCACTCCCTTTGTCAAGACGGTTCTGCTCGGTTTGTCTTTCCCAAGTAAGGGTTCAAAGATGTCTTCACACCTGATCGATGTTTCCAGAGCTGTTGGTTTCCTGGACGCTGCTTCAATCTGTCGTATCTCATGTTCATCGTTGAGCTCCCCACTCCCTCCTTCTGTGATGTACAGCTCTGTGTAGATTTCTTTCAGAAGTGTCGGGTGTCCTTCTTTAGGAATACCCTCAAACAAATACTGAAACTTCTTCTGTAGGTGAGATTTGAGGTTGCGCTGGCACACTGCTGCAAGACTTTCTACACGGACAGATACAAAAATAGATCAATAGCTTGTGTGCAATCACGTGACTAGGGATGCACCATATTTGATTTTTTTGGCAACATCCGATCACCAAGTCTCTTCTGTAGTGGATAAACATCATATTATACATGCATACTCTTATCATGGCAGCCCACCAGTAGATGGAGACATGAACTTTTCAGTGTGTGTAATATTCATTCATTGAGCAAAATAAGAAAAAGCACGTCGGCCGATTCCGATAGTTCATTTTAAGGGCGATATTGGCCAACAGCGATGACGTGCCGATATTATCGTGAATCCCTACACGTGACGTCGGCCCTAAAGGGTCTATTGCATACTTCAACTTAATTTTTGTGCCAATTATAAAGGCAACAGGTAACAATTGAAAAACATACCTGTACTACACATCACTGTAGTTGTACATATGCTCTAGTCTGCATCATAACCAGGACAGTCGTACTAATACTGAGACGGTAAATACAGATACACACATGGACACACAGACACACTCACACATTCATTACAATATATTAAACCTCTCTTACTGTTGTGCAGGGTGGCAGCCAGCTCCTCCTGCTTCATACTCCTCAGAAAGTGAACCGTAATCTTCAAAAATGCCTCTCTGCTGCTCCTCTGTCGTTCCTCCTCCTCACTGTCCACCACCTCCTCTTCCTCACACTGCCACTCAAAGCGCTCAGTGTGATCTGCACTCAGAGCCGTCCGGTACTTCTTCAGCTCACTCTTTACAAACGAGACCATGTTCTCCTCGAGCACCTTCAACAGATTGACATAGAAATACAACTTTTAATCCAGATCTTACTGTGTTTAACTTTTGGTTCTACTTTTAGGTGCAGGAAAAACTTCTGTAGTTTGATAAGTACGTCTCATCTGCTATTCTGAGGTGTTGGTAAAAATTTGTGGGTGTGATTCAGAGATGTCTGCTAAATACAGGAGCATATTTATCTGTCGTGGATTCACAGTGCTCTAAAGGGGGCATTTAAATTTGAAAGTGTAGTTGCTGCACATTTACACACCATAAATATGGAGGTCAGGTCTTCTTGATACTTCCGGGGAGGTTGATCACTGGAAACCTTTAACATCTCATGATGAACTCTGTCAAGAGAGCATTGAGTTTTAAGGTTCTGTGTGTAACCTTCAGAAAATCACTGTTACTAATGACACCTTTGACTGTTGAGTGAACTGCAACCAGCATCCTGTTGCTCGTAGGTGTGAACAAGCACCTGGGCATCGGGTGAAACAGTGACATGACAAAGAGACTGAGGGTGTCTGAGCAACATCACGTATAAAGAATAATCATATTCAGAATAACATTACTTGTTTGGACCATTGGCTCCATGACAGAAGTAGTTTGCCGTTTGCAAATGACTTTATCAGCTGATGTTACTAGGCAACCAAAGGCAGATCCACGCTGCGTGGCTAAGTTAGGCCCCCAGAGCGTCTGAGAGCACTTTGGAGGCTCAGCTGAGACGCTCTGCTCTAAATGAGAGCACTGTTCGAAGAAACAGAGCGTCCTGTTTCTACATGAATTAACAAACATTTAGGTTAGGCTGCTGTCAGCCCTAGAGTGGTCTCCTCTGGTCTGAATCAGGGACTCATGTTGTTCCAAAGTTGTATAAATGCCTAGAGTTGGTTCATGTTCTCACGGCAGCATTTACGAACCGCATCAGAGTTCGTTTGTAACCGGAGACCACCTCTTCAAGAAGGTCTCGGTCCGGTTGTTTTGGTGCACACCTGAGTGTGATTGCTGTGTTCACACCTGAATCGTTCTGAGGGGGCAAATGAACCTGAGTTTGAATGAACTGAACCAAACATATCAGAGATATTGTAATAATTTTTTTCTGACTTAAGTCCCTTTTTAACAACATTAATTATTACGACTGGAAAACACCACTCGAAATAAATAATTGACTTCAAGATAAACATTTTGCAGTGGTGTCCTGGAGTCAGACCTTCACTTAGCAATCTGTAGCAACCAAATTCAGCCGGAGCAAGACCCAACACCAGGGGTCTGATCCCGGACTGTCCTGACTCCCAGCTGGATCAGCAAACTCTCTATTGCTAATTAGCAGATTTACAGAGATAATGTTTTCTGTCTGAAAGTCTTTTTTTATGACATAAATTATTACAACTGGAAAATTAGCATTTTCCTAGTGTTTTTCTTAGAGCTACCATCTTTCCCACCTGACGTAAAGTTCGTCTTTGATGTCACACCTCTTGATGTGGACTTACCTTTCTTGAGAAAAATGCTGTTGAAAAGCGAGTGGTGTTCCCATGGACTCGTTACTCTTCATGGACACACAGCTGGGTGTGGGGGGGTCTGCTCTCTCCTGCTGCATTTTCCTTTGGAACAACACAGACAGAACTTTGTCACTGCATCATGACAATGGCGTAACTTCAGCGCTGAACTCTGACGGGACGGTTCATGTTCATGACCCCCTCACTCTCCTTGGTGACCCCCCTGATTCTTTCTCTTCCTCTATCATAAGATCAAAATATTAATTTGTCTACTGTGGAAATTCTGCAGAAAAGTTGCACTCAATGGTTCCTCTTGGCCATCTCGAAGCGCTGTTGCAGGATTTTATGTGCAGTCATCTGTGCGCTAGTGTCACACTGTGTCTTAGCGGGTCTTTGTAATCATGTGTAGTTTTATGTTTTTATAGTTCACCTATATTAACGTACTTTTTGGTTGTTCTTTGTATTAATCTCATTTTGTGTTTTATATTGCTTGTTTTAAAGCTGTACATTTTTATTTTTGCATTTTTGTTCAGTGTTGTCTGTAACTTTATGTTGCTGCTTCAGCCAGGACAGATTTTTTATCTCAAGAGTTTTTTTTTTTCTGGTTCAATAAAACTAAAGTAAAAGACTTTGCTGGCGTTAAACACACCTGAATGTATGCACAGTCACTTCATTGATTGCACCTGTGACAATTATCTAGTGCTACTCTGATTGCCGGCACCTGACATCAGCCTTGGTGTATCTGTGAGCTGCTGCTTGTTTTTGCGCCCTGATGAAGACTGTGAGTTAACACCTGTAGGCGTTCAGCCCACACATTAAAGGCTTTTTAATTTTTGCAAAGGGTGTTATGATTTATTGACAAAGCTAATTACAAGTCTAACCTCTCCCTCCTGTTTTGGTCACAAAAGTTTATGATACCTAGATGTTAATTTTCACAAATGATTTTCAAAGTGTAAATGCAGTCACCACAAGTTAGACTCTATTGATTTACACTATGGTTGCATGACTGAAAGTGTCCACCGCACTGAGTATGTAAAGCTGTGTTCGGCCTGAGGATGTTCTGTAGGCTCATTTAGCCACTTGTTAGCAATTGGCTTTTTTAAACACCTACAGGCTTCAAGATTCTCAAGTGGCGTATTTACTGACGTATTTTATGTTGTGTAACAAAACGTGAGTCTCTTGAACCTGCATTAACCACAGACCTTATTTCAGGCATCTGGCCAAAACAACACGAAAAAATTATTGACTTCAAGATATACATCTTGCAGCGCCGTCCCGGAATCAGACCTTCACTTAGCAGCTCAAATTCAGCCAGGGGTCAGATCCTGGACAGCACTGACTCCCCGCTGGATCAGCAAACTTTCCTTTGCTAATTAGCAGATTTACAGAGATATATCGTAATTGTTTTTTTCTGACTTTAGTATTTTGTTACGACATAAATTATTACAACTGGAAGACCAGCATTTTCCTAGTGTTTTTCTTAGAGCTACCATCTTTCCCACCTGACGTAAAGTTCGTCTTTGATGTCACACCTCTTTGTGTGGACTTACCTTTCTTGAGAAGAATGCTGTTGAAAAGCGAGTGGTGTTCCCATGGACTCGTTACTCTTCATGGACACACAGCTGGGTGTGGGGGGGTCTGCTCTCTCCTGCTGCATTTTCCTTTGGAACAACACAGACAGAACTTTGTCACTGCATCATGATGATGGCGTAACTTCAGTGCTGAACTCTGACGGGACGGTCAGAGACACACACAGATCTTTGTGTCACCTTTTAGCTGTCATCTGATTGTCATGGCTCTGCGACAAAGTCAGTCTGGAGGGAGAGACTCCCCCCTCTCTGTCCTCTGCAGACCGACTCATGGCTCACCGTCGACCTTTAAGAAAGTATAGTTAACCTGCTGTGTTACACAAAACTGTTTGGTTAAAAAGGGAGTCGAATTTATTATGGGTTTTTTTTTGCACTGGTCAAATGTAACTAAGCCACTGCAGCTGCTCTGATTTCTTCACACATACCTAATGACTAAAATAATGAGATAAGACATGCTGCTCGTCTTGCACTGGTCATTTTGTGGAACACACAAAAAACATTAACGCGAGGAGATATTTTATCATTTTTATGGGTTGGAGTCATTTTTCGTGTTGGTGTTTTTGTATTAAAAAAGCTTGCAGGTTATTAGTCATTTAAAAATCAAAAATTTTAAAAAAAGGCAAAAGATTTGAGTCAACGTTTAGCTAGCAAGCTAACACAGTGTGGTAGCTAGCTTAGAAGAGGTCAAGAGGTCAGTAGGGGACGGTTGTCACATGTGTGACAGTTCAGAAGGACAAACACACAATGTTTCTCATTAAGCGGGATTTATAGTTGTGTGGCAGACCCTACACAAGTCATCCACGCCGTTGTGAGCGTTTATACTTGTGCGGTGGTGTGTCTGTGTCACTCTGCAGTTACACCTCCAAAACACTAGGGGGCGGTGGAGTTTCTGTGAAGTGCTGTAAAGTTTAGTTGATTCAAAACACACATTAAACACACATTAAACATGGCTTAATAGAGACAGTTTCAAACACAAATCAGCTTCACTATAACTCGCAGCATTCACAGACAAACACTTGTCTTTATCTGGACACATTTTCCCCACAAATACAACATGCTAATGTTATTAGCACAAGCCTATGGCATTTTGCATTGTATAAATTAGCCTAGCAGCTAGAAAAATTTTCCTCTACTCATATAAAACCAGGAACAACAGCAAAATATAACAAAGGTAACGTAACAAAATTAAGCTCCATTACAGCTCACAAGGTTCACTGACAAAACAACTATCTTGAAGTCCATTCTCATTGAGGGCGAATATCCGCGCAGATTATTCTTGCGGAAAATTAGAAGCTGATTTCTTGTGGAAGTTTGCACACTGGGGTGGAACTTTTGTGCAGTGAAAAAAGTTTACACAGCTGGGCCAATTAAATTGTTTGTTTATAGTGACGTCGCGCAGACCCGGGAGAGTCCAAGATCCAGTCAGGCAGGACAGTATGGGAGAAAGGTTGATAAACCTCGTTTCACAGCACCCCGTCCTTTTTGATAAAAGACGGGATGATTTAATGAACAATGAATTAAAGGACAACGTCTGGCAGTCCATTAGTGGCTGCAGTGAGAGTAGTAAGTGCTAAAGAAAGTTGATGTTGACGCTTGTTAAACGTTAGCTTGCTAGCTCGCTGCTGCTGCTGCTACTCTCGTCCACACCCATTCACACTGCACGGACTTGGAACACAACAACGCAAAATTCCATACCGTGTCCGTACCGCGTCTGTGTGTATAATTTAAATGTGGAAAAGCGCTGTGCGAATATTCCACAAATCCGTCCCGCATTTCCGCGTCACAGCAGTGAGAATTAACCTTTAATACTAAACACGTTTTCCAAACAAATACAACATGCTAACGTTATTAGCACAAGCCTATGGCATTTTACATTGCTTAAATTAGCCTAGCAGCTAGCAGAGATTTCCTCTGCTCATATGAAGCCAGGATAAATCACACACAAGACTTAAAATGCTATTTTAGTGGAGACTTTATTGTCTTCACAATTTATTGTTTCTTATCTGTGAAATTAAAGTAAATTAAAGTTTTGTTTCCACTGAGGTCTGCGTCGCCACGACGTGTTGGCGTAGGCTCTATGTCAACGTGGAGCCTATGCTGCAGCTATGGCATTGATTCAAGGCAGAAGCATGAATTAGAAAACAACGCTGTATCTAAACAGTTACTTTAACCTCAGCTGTTTGGCATTTTAATACAAGTTGCAGAGGATGATTCAAACAAACAATCACATGGTTCAAATTCATGGTTTAAATACAAAGGGCACTGATGAGTACTATTATAGAGGTGCTATTCATTTCAAAACTTATTTGGTGTTTCTATCTTAAAAAATGAAAAAGTTACACATTTTTTTCAATGTTATTTTTTTTCAGAGACCCCATTGATAACGTCTTCGATGGTTCATTACTTCTTGTTACAATAAGCTGTAAAAATGAATGGGACACCCATTTCAACCCGAGACCTGAAGCTTTTATTCAATGTAGGAATGACTGTTGAAAGATGTTTTAAGGATGAGCAATTCACGCAAGAGTAAAAACTGTGACAACCAACCCCGGTCCCCCCAACCACAGACATCTCAGAAAATAAGAGCCCAATACAGAAATATTCATATTTGCATTTGCAACTCTAAAGGCATGCAGTCATACGTGTGTGTGTATATAGTACAGACTAACTTCAACTTTTACATACCTCAAAATCTGTCCAGATCACACAGTAGAAACATTTCACCAGCAGCACGTTGTGCAGATGGTACCGTAGTCATCGTGTGTGTGTGTGTGTGTGTGTGTGTGTGTGTTTGCTTTAAAGTGACTTTAAACCGGTCTAACTTGTAAACCAGAAACCAAACTGCTTTTGGATTGTATCCATATCTTGTGCTTCCCTCTTGAGGATGCAGCAAAATCAACACTGCTTCCAAAAATATATATAATTTCTTCCTCTCTTAAAGATGTTAAAGAATTTCTTGGTAGTCAGAGAATCCAACTTTCTTTTGGCAAAATCATGTGATGTTGGTTTTAGACATGCCTGTAATGACAAAGTCAGTATTTCTCCAAGACTGACTCAATTCGAGGCAAAACAGATGCTTGGCTGAGTTAACGCTCTTAAAGTTGTACACAAATAATGCTAAAAATCATGACTCTCAAATAATTACACACAGAAATAACTGCAGCTGCTGTCAGGTTTGACAGGTTTGACAGGTTGGAGCTGAAAATTCTTTTTTTTTCTGGTGACTTGTTTCAGTGTTTTATATTGTCTCTTGTTGACACAAATCAAAGTGAAATATAATAAATAATAAATGAATATGAGGAAAAATTATCATATTTATCGCTGAGGGAGAAAAACAGGCTAACCGTAAGTGATGTACAACCCCAATTACAAAAAAGTTGGGACATTGTGTAAAATGTAAATAAATACAGAAGGCAATGATTTGTAAATCTTTTTTTCACTTATTTTCAAATGAATACAGTCCAAAGACAAGATCTTTACTGTTCAAACTGATAAAACTTTATTGTTTTTAGTAAAATATACACTCATTCTGAATTTGATGCCTGAAAAGTTGGGACGGGGCAACAAAAGACAGGAAGTTGTTGAATGCCCTGTTGGAACATTCACAAGTGAACAGGTTAATTGGTAACAAATGATAGTACCATTAATAGGTGTGACGGGGGCATCTTAAAAAGGCTCAGGTGTTCACAAGCAAGGATGGTCACTTTTTGAAAAACAGTGTGGGCGAACACAGTTTGAGAACGTTTCTCAGAGCACAACTGACCTATGGCTAAGTCCCGCCCTCAAACGCGATGAGCCAATCACAGTGCATATAGCCAGTCCCATACACTTGGACATTCTCTGACTGGACGTCCATTGAAATGCATTACAGAAAGTCAGTTTGTTCGGTTTTATGAGTTTTTTCGGAGATTTAGAGTTTAAAAAATGGTCAAACGGTGTGCATGGGGTACATGCAACTCTGACACAAGGTATCCTGAGAGGCTGGGCGACCAGGTGTATTTTTTACACTTTAAACCACATCTCAAGCAAGAAAAGTGTCTCCTTTGGATAAAGTTGTGTGGTAACGTTAGACCACAACATCAACTCAACGTGAATAAGATTAACAATGATGTCTACATCTGTTCTAAGGTAAGTCAACATTGTGTTTGAGGCAACATATTGTCACTTTGCTGGAAAGAAATATAAAGTTATCTTTAACATCTCTAGCTAACGTTAGCTAAAGTTAGCCTAACGTTAGCTCCTAGCTGCGTTGTTCATCATGTCACCTTGTTTGCTGGGAGTTCATTAGCCTATTTTGTTCTAGTTTTGTACTTTGGTGATCGTACATCATTGTTAGCTGTTGTCCAAAGGGCTCTAGTTAAGCTAACGTTAACTTCTGGAGCTTAGCTTCATTAACTTATCTGTAATGGCACAGATAACAAAGGTTGGCAAACGTTATGCTGAATGATTCAGTGTAAATACTGTAGCACCAAACTAACGCAGAGACACTCTTGGTAAAGATGGTAAAAAGGCCGTTATCCTTTTCTCATATTCTGAGCCAAAAACCTTAACTTCAGTGGCACTTTAACTTGTTGTCTTTGATGGTGACGGCAACCAGATGCGGTTCACAAGCGTACACTGTGACCTGTAAATTTTGGCTTGTAATTTAAGCTTTTCATCGACCTTCTCAACAATAAAATGATGAATATATCCCTCCAATGCGTAGTTTAGGCCCTTTTGGTTACTTCTCAATGACATCTGATCGTTATGTCCCCAAAAATCATCAGTTGCCTCCTGTGAAATGCCGTGTACTGTGACACCTGCCATAGCGCCGCTCACTGAATGTTGATAGTTTGTCCTAGTGAGTGGAGGGGGGCGTGGCTTAGCCATAGGTCAGTTGCAAAGAATTTCGGGATTTCAACATCAACAGTCTATAATATCATGAAAAGGTTCAGAGAATCCAGAGAATTCTCTGCATTTAAGGGACGAGGCTAAAAACCAACAGTAAACAGCTGTGACCTTTGACCCCTCAGACGGCACTGTATTAAAAACTGACTTGATTGTATAAAGGATATTAAAACATGGACTCAGGGACACTGTCAGTAAACACATTGTTGCATCTACAATGACAGTTCAGACTCTTAACATGCAGAGTGAAAGCCAGATATCAACAACTTCCAGAGACGCTGCAGATGCCTCTGAGCCCGAGCTCATTTGAGACGGACTGACACAAAGAGGAAAAGTGTGCTGTGGTCTGACAAGTCCACGTTTCAAATTGTTCCCGGAAATCATGGACGTTCATGACGTTGTGACATGAGAGGATCATCCAGGATTGAGCATCCATGGGACGTGCTGGTACCTCAGAGGTACCCCTAATCCACAGTGGGGCCTCCCTGGATCTGACTTGTCTCTGAAGTCACCTCTTGAAGGTGTCCTGTGGTGTCTGGCACCGGGGTGCTGGCTTTGGATCATTTGAGCCCTGTCAGATGTGAGGTTGGGTACCAGCACATTCCAAGATGCTCAGCCAGATTTGGGTGTGGGAGATTTGGAGGCCAGGTCGATACCTTAAGCTTTTTGTCATGCTCCTCAGGCCATTCTTGAGCAGTTTTTCTGCTGGGGGGGGCCCACTGCAGTCAGGGAGTGCCATTGCAGTGAGGGGGGGTTACTTAGCCCACAGCAGTGTTTGGGTGGGAGGAGGGTGTCAAGTGGCATCCACATGAATGCCGTGACAAAGGTCTCCCAGCACAACATTGCATTGTAACCATATAATCAGTGTTACTCACTTCACCCACCACTGGTTTTAATGGTTTGGCTTATCGGTGTATATGAACATAATCATTTTAAAACCTTTCAACCATTGAGAGCCTCCTCTGGGCTCCCAGCAGCACTTTTTTTTAGTATCTACAAGTTAGAGATTATACAAGAGTACAGCAGTTTGGGAAACTTATTCCACTCGAGGATTTCCAAATAGAAATTATGGTTATCCTTTGTCAAAAAGACACAGACATCCTGCACATGCTAAACTCATCCAAGTATTTTTTTAGTTTTATTTTATTTTTAAGGCAGGTGTCCTTCCCCATCCTATCCTACAAAAACCTTGAAAGTTGTATCAGTCATCTCGTGTAACTCTCTGCAAGACAATAAAAAGGCAAAATGCAGCTAACGTTAATGGAATGGAATGTTAACGTAAACAGGCTCACGGCTCAGAGTCACGGAGCACTCTAACCCAACCCAGAACCCAGGGTAGACAGGTTCAGTGAATCTGGAGTAGAAGGTGTGCAGGTGAGTAAATCTGTCATAGGGGTCGTTTTCGTTGGAGACTCTGTAGAAGGACACAGTGCCAGCAGGCCAGTCCAGATACACTGCTATCTTGGTGGTGTCAATGGGGTGCACGGATATTTCTGCAGTACCTGCTCTGTGGTAGGCACTGTAGCCATCATCATAGACCTCTACACTCCAGGACTTTTCATTCCATCCAAGACAGCAGTCAGCAGCTTCTCCACTCCTACCGATTCCTTTGTAAGTCACTGCAACGTGAGTCTTTCCATTCCACTCTATTTCCCAGTAACAGCGACCAGTCAGACTCTCCTGGCACAGCAGCTGAAACTGGCCCTCAAATCTCTCGGGGTGATCTGGATATGGCTGCTCCTCCCTCCCCCGTGTCACTTTTCTGTTGTCATCAGACAGAATGAGGTGTCTGTGCGCCGTGTTCGGGTCCAGGGTGAGTTCACAGGCATCTGGTGGGAAAAACAGGTCACAGTACGAGCAGCAGTTTCAGACCTTCTGTTAATTTGACTTTTTTTTCTTTTTTCTTTTTATCTCTGCCAGGTGTAAGATGTCGTTCGATGAAAAAACTGACCGTGTTTTTTGCGCCCTCAAATGAATTGTTTTCAATGTAGACGTGCATCAGGCACACTCAAATACCAGAGCGATGCCATTGCAGCCCACATGTGTTTCCGAGCACCTATTTTTCAGGGCATGATGGCTGCACCCTGTGATAAATTTTCGAAACGCAGCAGCGCGCACTTCATGTCATGTGACAAGGACCAACCAACCACAGCCGACAGATATCATTCCCTTCATCTGTAAATATCAGTCTGTGATAAATATGGAGAAAAAGTTCATCATTTTAGTGCAGGGCTGTCAGAGCTTTACGTCTCTCCCACGGACAATATTTTTGGCCTCAAAAAAAACGCTCTTACAAAACAGCGCCTGGAAGAAGATCAGCTCTGCACTCAGGATTTCTGGTAAATAGGCTATGATTCGGTGGTGGTTATGGTCATTTAGCAACTTCAGACACAACCTTACTCCAAGCCCTTGAAAGCTGGCACAGAAAAGGCACAAGTAGCACCCAGCGCCTGACCTTGTGTTTTCCAGGCGCTTAAGGACATGAAATATGTACGGCCTTTTATACCATCATCAACTGCTGCCTCCTCACTCCTATTAACCGGCCAGCAGGGGCTGCTAGTTTTTCTGAAATCAGCTGGGCTAAAAACAACAAGTCTTACCATCTGCTGTAGGCCACATTTTTGGTCTTACTCTAAACTGGAGCACCAGGGTCCAGTTGTTCAAAAAATGTAATCTGTATCAGAATGATCTAGATTTGGAAATCTTTTGTTTTGCTGTCCAGGGCCCAAGCGTTCTGAAGTAATCTGATCGGATTTCAGCTACAAGAAAAATCAGATCCAGCAAATGGGTTGTTCAGACAGACGGATTCTGAAATCAGATTAGATAACATCATCACTATATCGGTACAACATGGCGAACATGGTTAGGTTTAGAACAGGGTTTGGCTTTAGAATCTCACGGGACACGGACACCCTTGAGTGAAAGTCATGTTTGTTGGACCCATCCACCACCACTCCACCTGCCCTACTCGGACTTTCACTGCTTTAACTTTCGTCCTTGTCCCATCGCGTTTTCCCCTGATGCTGCTGGGCGCAGTTAAACTATAACAGCAATCGACCGCGTATCATGCAAACATTACAGGACATCTTTTTTGTTGGTTTATGATGCCACAAGTCACTGCCCAAGCGCCGGATTTCGACGACTTTGGAGTGAGACCGAGCTCCCTGGGTATGTTTGTTTGACAAAATCTTGTAGGGGTGGGAAAAAATAGATACATCTTAATATCATGATATTTTGCGTGGCAATATAGTATTGATACATAGATGCCAATATTGATTTTTTTTATCACATAAAGTATTAATATTGCAAATACAACATACAATTGTAGTAGCCTACTAGAAAAATAAAATCAATTGCTTTTTCAGGTCAGTAAACTTAATTTTATTTGATAAAAACAGATGCTGACAAGGTTGTTTGTTTAATTTGCAGTTGAAAATAGATAATAATCACATAATGTTGCAAAATATGTTAATCGCAATAGTCATATCGAAAAACAGTGAAAAGCAGCGTTACACTGCATTGTGACTTAAGCATCCTGATAATCTCATATCGTTGGGCCTCTGGTGATTCACACCTCTACTATCTTGACAATAACATTAGCTGGCCAGCTAACATAACGCCACATTAACAAACGGCTGATCATAGTCAACAACAAACTTAAAAAGCAAACGGTGATAAAAGCACAACACTCTCCAGCAACACCTAATGTCTGCTGGCCGATCTGCCGCCAAAAACTGAGCTTTTCTGTCTTTGTTTTGACAGTAGACGGTATCTTGGCAAAAGAAGCGTCAGTGACGTCACCGTCACCTTTCTGAAAAATTCAGGGATTTTAAACTGGAGATGCTGGAAGCAGCCGTACAAAAAAGCCAGGGCGCTGTGAAAAAAGATGCTGGTCGTGGTGCTTTTTCTCAAGGTGGCTGCATACGCTCTCACCTCATTGGGATCAAATGACGCTCAGGGTAAGTTCAATCAGGAAGACTTTCTTCGTGCTCATCCATTCACAATTCTCTCCCTTCATTCATCCTCATAATTATATTGTATCTGTATTTCGCACACAGTGTCAGTTAGCAAGAGACATGGATCTGCTCTGCGCAACGTGCTGCAGCTCCATGAAAATTGACTGGGCATATTTTTATTAACATCTGGGACGCGCCTCCCTGGCAGAGATCTGCACTCTACTGAGTGCACTTATATTGTCTTCTGTCTGTTTTTATTTGACCTAGGATTTAGACAGATGTCCCCTCAATAAACTTTTAGCTGTATACAGATCTAATCTATACAACTTCATATACACTTACACTTCTTCAGACCAGATTTCAACCAGCGCACACCACTAGGTTCCAACCTGGAAAAGATATTGAGTTAACATTTATGGTTTTTAAATAATATTCCTTAATCTGACACAGGGGCGGTGTTTAAGATGTGTTAGCTATTCTCCAGTTGTTTGCTCTCGGTACCTGAGAGTGTCCAGTCTCCAGTTTGGATCCTCTAGTCCAGAAGAAAGCAGCTTGACTCCTGAGTCTCCTGGATGATTGTAGCTCAGGTCCAGCTCTTTCAGATGGGAGGGGTTTGAGCTCAGAGCTGAGGCCAGAGAAACACAGCCTACCTCTGTGACCAGACAACCTGACAGCCTACACACAGTTTGTGAATTTGTTTTCTTAGATTTTTTATTAATTTTTTTTTTTTACCACAAATTTTCCAACATTCATGAAACAAACAAGAATTCTGACCTGAGGATTTCCAGTCTACATTGTGGACTCTCCAGTCCACCAGAGAGCACCTCTACTCCTGAATCCCGCAGGTCGTTGTTGCTCAGCTCCAGCTGTTTCAAACAAGACGACTGAGAGCGAAGAACTGAGGCCAGCGCTCCACAGCTCATCCATGACAGGTCGCACAAATTCAACCTTAAAGAACATGAAAATAGATTAAAATGTTTTCTTTTCTATCCACACTTCTATTTCTTTACTCTATTATGTAATTTCAGATAGTAATTAATATTATTAAATAATGACAGCAACTACTTAAGTGTTTGCTCCTTTCTGTGGCACTGTGACTCATTGAGTGTAGCACAAAAAATGCTTATTGATTCCTACTGGGGATAACTAATTTAAATTAAATGGTTGGTTCACCCAAATGCAAAAAAACCCCAATGCACTGTGTCTCTAAATCAAGCGAAAACCTCCAGGGCTGTAAAATGGAGCCAACGCAGCCATGTATACCACTCTCTCAGTTCACCCAGTAAATTTCCACTGACCCCACCTCTCCACCACACCTACCTGCCAGTCTATCACCTGTCCACACATCTCCAACTCCTGCCGGTCTACAACACCCATCTCACCAAACCAACCACTCTCACCTGTGGATCTTTACCTCCTGCCAGTATAAAGACCCCAGCTTCACAGGCTCTTCTTGCCAGATTGTTCTATGTCATTCACATGCAAGACTTTCCAGCGTTTATCCCTGGACTGCTTCGGGGTCGCCGACCTCGCCTGCCTCTGACTCTCCTGCTTCATCTGCTCCCTAGTAAACCATTTAGCCCTCTGTCCCTGACCAAGAGCTCTGCTTCCATCTTCCTGGTTTCTGTTTGCCTGTTCCCTGTGGCTGTTTGGAGAGGCCGTCACCCAGCTCTCCATAGTGAGTTTACCTTTTCTGCTGCCTGTGATTTCCTGTGCTGTGGATTACCTCGCCACGTGGCTGCACATTCTGCTGATGTGTGCGCACTGCGGGATCCAATCATCATTGCCGCTTACGCAAAATGGATGAAATCAGTGCTCATAATAACAAACAATCATAAAGTAAAGTGAGGAAGCATTTTGGATTCAATACATAAGAGGAAACAAAACTTGGATAAAGGTAACCCAGGTAGCCAGAATGATCTGGCCCAGCATTGGCCCAAACTTGGGACACTGGAAAAAAATATTCAGGCTGTATCCATCTGCCCAACTTAGCTGAGACTCTGGTTTAATGATGCCCCAGAATCGGGCCAAGTCAACGGGTCAAGTTCTGGCTGCCGACATTGCCATCACTGGCCTGTCATCAAAAATGGCCTGGCCCAGCATCGGCCCAAACTCAGCACACTGGAAAAAAATAATCAGTCCATCTCTGATTGCCCAATTCAGCTGAGACTCAAGATGAATGAAACCCCAGAATTGGGCTAAATTAACCAGCCAAATTCTGGTTGCCGACACTGCCATCACTGGGACGTCATTAAAAATGACCTGATACTGATCATCACCATCAGCAGATACTGAAGCAGCAGAGGCCACATAAGAACATTTGTTCTGCAATGTAGTTTTTAATTAAGCCAAATATGTTGGCTTCATTTAACTTGAATACATTGCATATTTATTTGAAGTACTCCGAATTTCAGCCTTTGTGATTGTGATGTTTACTGCATTGAATTCTGACCTGAGACATTTCAATGTACAGTGAGAACTCTTAAGTCCAGCAGAGAGGAGCTTCACTCCAGAGTCCTGCAGGTTGTTGTTACTCAGGTCCAGCTCTCGCAGACAAGAGGTCTTGGAGCTGAGAACTGAGGCCAAAGTGTCACAGCTTTTCTCTGACAGCTGACACTCACTCAACCTGCGGAAGGTGAAACACACAAATACAGAATTTTAACAGAGTTGCTTTACCTTGGTTTGGCGAATCTCTGGGAACATATATCTGCATAGGAATGCGGAATCTGTAGGCAAAGGGACAAGAGTTTGGTGTTGAAGGTGTTCTGGTTTTTGTTAGTAGTGTAAAGCGGGATTTATACTTGTGCGTCAGCTCTATGCAGAGCCTACGCTGTTGTGAGCATTTATATTTATATTTATTTATATTTTGTGTGGTGGCGTGTCTGTGTCACTCTGCAGTTACACCTCCAAAACACTACTCGACAGCGGGGTTTCTGTGAAGTGCTGTAAAGTTTAGTTGATTTAAAATATGCATTAAACACACATTAAACACACATTAAACATGGCTTACTAGCGACAATTTCAAACACAAGTACACAAATCAGCTTCACTATAACTCGCAGCATTCACAGACAAACACTTGTCTTTATCTGGACACATTTTCCCCACAAATACAACATGCTAACGTTATTAGCACAAGCCTATGGCATTTTACATTGTATAAATTAGCCTAGCAGTTAGCAGACTTTTCCTCTTCTCATATGAAGCCAGGGACAACAACAACATTTAACAAAGGTAATGTTACAAAATTCGGCTCCATTACAACTCACAAGGTTCACTGACAAAACAACTGTCTTATACTAAACACGTTTTCCAAACAAATACAACATGCTAACGTTATTAGCACAAGCCTGTGGCATTTTACATTGTATAAATTAGCCTAGCAGTTAGCAGACTTTTCCTCTTCTCATATGAAGCCAGGGACAACAACAACATTTAACAAAGGTAATGTTACAAAATTCGGCTCCATTACAACTCACAAGGTTCACTGACAAAACAACTGTCTTATACTAAACACGTTTTCCAAACAAATACAACATGCTAACGTTATTAGCACAAGCCTATGGCCTATGCTGCCCCAGCCAACGTGCACTACACTATATTTTCACTCATCCACACACTTCCCACGTGACCACTTAAACACTCCACCAGTTAGATCATATGTTTATTAGTTTAAGCTAAATATCATGTTTTGATTGATATATGTGTGTGGACTGAGTTTTTGCTGCCAGCCTTGAGCCATAATCCTCTTCATAATGCATTATACATGAAGATGTGATTCACTTTAATGACATGTAACCCTTCCCATAACCCTTGCGCTAACCTTAAATGCCTCTCTTTTAACCAAACACTTCATAGCCAGCTAAACACTAATTTGGCATTTTCTTCAGGGCAAAGGAGCTGATCGAGTCATATAGCTAATAGGCAGGTCACGTAGCTGCTCCAGCCGCAGCTATACCTACTCACACAGAGGAGAAAGTCTTGGCCCGGATATCCACTGGCTACATCGCAACCCCCAAAATATCACCCGTTGCTGCCAGAGGCTAAATTCCCTAAAGGCGTTCTTCAGATATCACGTCCACCATAATGGAACTCACGGGCAGACAACCGCTCCAGCTTGGAGGCGTAATAAAATGTATTATTATTTTTTATTATTATTATTGTTATTATTATCATCATCATTAATATTGAAAGGGGAAGCCAATAGTGTCTCGAAACAATTATAAATAAAGTGAGCTGACCTGAGCAATTCCAGCCTACAATTGGGGTTCTTCAGTCCATCAGAGAGCAGAGTCACTCCGCCATCTTCAGGGCAGTTGCTGCTCAGATCCAGCTCTCTCAGATGAGATGGATTGGACTTTAGCACTGAGGCCAGAGCATTAAAGCATGAATTGCACCAAAGTCCACAGCCATTCAGCCTGATGAGGATTAATAGATGAAAAACAAAGTTCATTTATTTTATTCTTAAAATACAACATTTGATGTTAATATTGTAATACATCCACCTACAGGTACGTGACGGAGGTTTGAAACACTGGCAGCAGTGTCAGGAAGCCCCTCTCTGAGATACAGTATTTCTTTAAGTCGAACACATCGTGATGTTTTTCTGATGACATTAAGATGAACACCAGAGCCGACCACTGACCAGGAGACAGTACTTGTGAGAACAGTCTACCTGAGCTCAGGTACTGTTGGATCTCTTCCACTAGAGAATGATCATTCAGCTCGCTCAGACAGTGAAACAGGTTGATGCTTCTCTCTGTAGAGAGATTCTCCTTAAACTTCTCCTTGATATACTGGATTGTTTCCTGATTGCTGTTTGAGCTGACTCTTTTCTGTTTCAGTAGGTCTGCCAGGAGATCTTGATTGGACTGCGATGAAAGACCCAACAGGAAACGGAGAAACAAGTCCAGGTGCCCATCTGGACTCTGTAAGGCCTCGTCAATAGCAATCCTGTGGACTTCTGTTGCCGATGTTTTGCTGAAAACCATGCCCAGGCCTTTGAAAGTCATTTGGGATCCAGCCATCACGTTCCTGTTGCTGTTAATGCGTGAGAGCTCCACATAAAAAGCAGCCAGAAACTCCTGAATGCTCAGATGGACAAAGCTGAACATTCTTTCCTTGTTCTTGTCCTTCCTTCTCCAGTGCTCCTTTTTAAAGATCTGTGTGAACACCCCGGAGTAAATAGATGCTTCATGGAGATGAATTCCACTCTCTTTAAGGTCTTTCTCGTAGAAGATCAGATTTCCTTTCTTCAGCTGGTAAAATGCCAGTTTTGCAAGTGACTGGACGTACTGAAGGCTCTTCTCTGTGCCGTACTTCTCTGTTGTCTGTCTGATCTGGAACATAAGGAACTCTGTGTACATCTCAGTCAGGGTCTTGGGCAGCTCTCCTCTGTCACTGGTTCTCAACACATCTTCCAGAACTGCTGCAGTGATCCAGCAGAAGACTGGGATGTGACACATGATGTGGAGGCTTCGTGATGACTTGATGTGCTTGATGAGCCTGTCAGCATGCTTATTATCACAGAATCTCTTAGTGAAGTAGTCCTCCTTCTGCAGGTCAGTGAACCCTCTGACCTCTGTCACCATGTCAACATCCACCAGAGAGATTTGATTGGCTGCTGCAGGTCGTGTGGTTATCCAGAGGCGAGCAGAGGGAAGCAGAGTCCCTTTAATGAGGTTCATCAGCAGTCCCTCTACCCCGGCTGACTTTGTCACATCAATGTTGTCTTTTTCTTTGGCGCTGAAGCCTAGCTGAAGACGGTTCTCATCTAACCCATCCAACACAAACAGAAGTTTAAATCTACTCTTGTCATAGTTGGTGTTTCCTGACTTCTGTAGGGCTGTGAAAATGTAATTCAAAGCCTCCTCTGGGATGTCTTTGGTTTCCTCGATACATTCGTGAATGAGTTTGGCGAGATGAAACCTTTTTCCCTTCAGTAAATTGAGCTGGCGGAAGTTGAAGGGGAATATGAGATGCACGTCTTGATTGGCTTTTCCTTCAGCCCAGTCAAGGATGAACTTATGCACAAGAAATGTCTTCCCTATTCCTGCAATTCCATTGGTCAGCACAGTCTTTATAGGTATGTATTTTCCGGAAGGATGTTTGAAGATATCACTGCGTTTGATTAATACCTCTGTTTCTGCTGGTTTTCTTGATGCCATCTCAATCTTTCTGACCTCATGTTGCCTGTTGAGTTGCATGTCGCCGCCGTCTGTGATGTAGAGCTCTGTATAGATATCTTCCAGACGTTTTTTATCCTCCGTACCTGACAGTCCTTCTTGTATGCACATGAACCGGTTCTCAAGGTTGGATTTGAGCATTTGTTGGTATGATGTGATTGGCCTTGGAGGCTTCTCTACTGGCACCATAAGATCTGTGTAAAGCAAAGCAGAGGAGGGACCAGTTTTTTTTTTATGCAAGAAAAATGGTAAATGGTAATTGGACTACACTTGTTTAGCGCCTTTCTAGTCCTCCAACCAGTCAAAGCTCTTTTACACTACGTCACATTCACCCATTCACACATACATTCACACACTGGTGGCCGAGGCTACCATACATGGTGCCACCTGCTGCTCAGTAAGCATTCACACGCACTCACACACTGATGAAACTGGTCGTATTCTAACCTTCCTGTGTAATCAGTCTACTGTTTATTTATTTATTTTAGTTATTTCACAGTAATCAGTGTGTAGTTGCTGCCATGTTGAGGCAGAGGGTGCTGTCTGTAGCTCTGGTTGAGGGTGAGAGGCTGTCAGCAGATAAACAGAGATCTGTGTGGGTACATGAGACCCTAAAAAAGAGGCTGGATCATGGGGAGTACCACCAGTTGGTCCAGGAGCTTCTCCTCCATCATGGACGTTTACAGGCTGATTTTAGGATGACTCAGGGGCAGTTTGACAACCTGCTGTCTATCATCAGGCAGTATAGCTCTGGGTATCCAGCAACCACTACCACCACTTTCTCCTCCATTGTTTACCAACTGTAGACTTGTTGTCGTGACAACCACAGAAGGCCCGTCTCTCAAATCATCTGATTGGACAATGGGGAAAAAAGATGACAAAAAAGAGATGACCTGGGGCGCTTTTCTGTTTTGGGTTGAAGTTTTTTCAACTCGAGGAGTTCAGAGTGCTCCAAAAAGCAGAGCAAAAAGCTTCATTCTTCATTCTGTTACAAAAAGGCGCCTCTAGCCGCTAAAATGCTTTCTGTGTGTGATCAGGGCCCTAGATTGATTAACACAAAGATATGGGCTGCTCTTATCCTGTTATCAAGTTGTACAAACAGAAATAAAAATCCTTAATCATTTTTAATAATGTTTCAATGGACAGTGAGTTCATTGAAAAGCTTTACCTTCAGTCTGACTGTCTGCAGTTAGAAGGTGAGGAGTTGTTGTCCGTGGTATAATCGAGGAAGTCTCTCTGTTTTCTGAACTAGTCGCCACAACACCAACATCTTCCGCTACAGAGAGGGAGAGAAAAAAGAAAAAGGAATGTTGAAGGGTGTTCGACACATATCAGCATAATTTTCCCTTTCCATAACGTACTGTTTGGTGTGGAGGGGATGTTTGGTAATCTCTGCACCAGATCATTTCTGTTGATCTTCATCAAAACTTTCCTGGTCACCTCCAGAGCTCCGTAAGCGCCGTAGCTCTGCACCATCTGAACAACGGTGTCCTGCCTGTCTGCCCTCTCTAGCCGGGTCACAGGGATGGCTGGGCGGACCTTGACATGTGGGACGACTGTGTGCATGATGTCTTCCTGCTGGAGGAGCCATTTCAGCTGCTTGAATTCCTCTTCCCTCAAATCCTCCAGAGTTATCCAGAGCTTCTCCTTTAGTGAGGTCATCGTGACTGGTAAAATCAGCAGAGATTTTTTAATTCAAAAGAAGACTAGTCCATAGCCATTGGTAGCTTTGTCACCTTCTACCTATGCCAATCCTCAATGCCTATGTGCAGTTTCACATAGATTGACCACGTCAGTGAGTAGAAAAACGTGGGACAGACAGAATGACTGACTGACAGAATGACACACTGACAGTTTCTGTGATTATGTACAGCATACCATACCATGACTTAGTCATACCAAACATTAGAAACAACACCAACATTGGTCCACAGGGGGAGCCACAGCGATCGGTCGCATTTTAGCCATTTTGAAGCATTTTTCTGTTGTTATAGCGCCACCCAGTTGCCAATTAGAGTTAAATTTCTCCAGTCACCTTGAGGCGTCCTGTTCTACATATCTACCAAGTTTAGTAAAAATCCATATGGCGGTTAGGCCTAGATAAGAAATGAGCTCTCTAGCGCCCCCATTTTGTTTGATGGGATCAATAATGGAGGGGTCCCCTCAGATTATGTGTGGTCATATGCCTACAAAGTTGCGTGGTGATGGGTGAAACCCTTGAGATGTTATACACCTTTATGTGATGAGCCACGCCCTCCGCAATATTCATTGCCTTATAGAAGCTCAGTTTTAGTAAGTTTTCCAACTTTTGCCAAGAGGGAACTTTAGATATTGGTCCCTAGATTATGTTCACCCAGTTTCATGCAGATCGCTCAAACTTCCTAGGAAGAGATCCATTTGAAGTGTTTTTCAAAAAATTCAAAATGGCGGAAAATCTCTATAAGCGGAAGTTATGGGTTCTTGAGGCAAATGTGTTCCTCATGAGGAGAGGCATCTCTGTGCAAAGTTTCATGTCTCTACAACATACGGGGCATGAGATATGCCCATTCAAAGTTTGACGTTTCAATGGGTTGCTATAGCGCCCCCCTTTGGCCAATTGATGTAATATTGCTTCATTGGCATCCTCCCATGACCCTCTACCCCTGTGCCAAATTTTACATGGATTGACCAAGTCAGTGAGGAGAAAAACGTGGAACACACACACAGACAGAACACACAGTTTTCATCATTATGTAGTCAGATTACGTAGTTTTCATTTTAAAGATTCAAGATAAATGGTGAGTCTCATCCTATCTCATAAATGCAAGAATATAAGGCTGTCAGACACATTATAGGTAGGTAACACTGCTGTGCTTGGTTGCTGTGCTTCCTGATTTCTACATTTCCTCAGTAACATTAGAGCACAGGGTTACTTTATTTTGTTCCTTTTTTTGCTGCACTGCGCTGCCAGTAACTAGACAGAGCCACCTGACATTAACCTTCCATCTCACGGTCTCACTCTGCCCAACCAATTCTCACACCAGCAACGAACGCTAGAAAAAAGGCCGGCAGCTGAGTATTTTAAATTAATTTCAAACAGCCGGCGTGTCCGGTGGGCAGAGTTGAAGTTTGCAGCCAGACTTCAGAGAGGGGAGAGGAGAGGAGAGGAGAGGGGCAGACTCCGCCTGACTGGAGTACTGGTTGAGTGAAATGGAATGCAGCCAAATGTTTCTGTGGAAAACTACTCTCTGATTGGTGCACAATCCATATTTGCGCTTTGATTGGGCAGCTCTAGTCTCACAGTCAGCCGACTACAGCAGGGTTGCCAACTCTCATGCGTCTGCCGTGACTGTCACTCTCTCACTCCCATTTAAGAAATCTCACTCCACCGTCGCCAAGTCTTTTTTTTTTTTTTTTTTTACGTCCAGGCCATTGTGTGGCTTGACCGGGCCACATACTGGATGCCCACTGGATCCGTTGCGTGTGCGATTCGGCCGCGGCACGGACTCGCTCCGTCCCGTGCCGGGCGTCAGTGTCCACTGGAACTGTAATTGGAATTGTCGGATCTCGAGATCATAATGTCACGCGATAATTTTCAGAAACCCTGGAGGTATAAAGCAGGGCTGGACTGGGACAAAAAAATGGCCCTGGCATACGCACACACTACGCTATTACCAAAATTAAGATGAAGATAGGATTTCACTGTGTGAATTTCAGAATTTTCTCGGGGGAGAACCCTCCTTAAAATCTTTCTGTTTGTCACAACAGGACATATTACTGGATTTTTTAAGCAGATGACGATACTACCATAGATTCTTTTAAGGTTAAAAAAAACAACGTACCGTCATGTCCATGTATGTTCATGACCACGCACGCACAAGCAGATATTACATCACAAGCTAAAAGCCTGATGATAACCCTGAGTTAGCCAAAAGTAGCGGCAATTTAAATAACATTAATTAGCTAAAAGTTATGGATGACGGCTGAAACAGTTAGCTAAAAGTAACTGATAAGCAGATAAAATAGCATTAGTTAGCCAGAAGTAATGGACAACAGTTAAAACAGTTGATAACGGTTAAACAGTTAGCTAAACATAAGTGATAAGCCATTATAATAGCATTGGTTTGCTAAATTTATTGGATAATGATAGAAACAGTTAGCCTGAAGTAACTGACAGCAGTTGAAATAACATTAGTTAGCTAAAAGTTATGGATTACAGTTGAAACATGTATTCATAGTAAAAAAAACCAACAAAAAACAAAATACTCTGTTTGGAGGGCCACCTGGAGGGCTGGATGACCACTACCCCTTGATCCCACAAAAGACATTGGACACCATACCCTATGCAGCAGCACTAAAATCGGAGTGGTAGGGCAAAAGTAGAGAAGTGAGAATTGGGCCATTATCTTAGTGTGACAGGTTTTATTGGTTTACATACCTCTACAGGACTTCATGCATGGTCAAAGTCCATTACTTGCGATCCCTGCTTTTCCTGTTGCCTTCGTTCAGAGGAAGGTCCAGATACAGCTAAAAAACAAAAGCCATCCAGCCAGGATTCAGCAACTGTGAGACAAATCAAGAGTTGTATCCCTCAGTGCTGCCACAAACACTGTTTTCACTCTTCATTGCAAAGACTCAACCCTGTCTCCTTGATATGGAGCGACTGATTCATACACATGCTTCACACCTCACTGCCAGCTACAAAACACACCCTCCAGTCTGGCGGTCTGTATTAGCTGCAGGCGAGCGGCTGAGGAAGGGGGCGGAGTAAAGATTGTCCCTCGCTGTGGGGAGAGGGGAGAGGGCTTCCCCGGAGGTCGGCCTCTTTACCTGGTCCCTCTCCTCCACACTTAGACTTATTTTCATTGTGCCGATGGTGGCTTGGAAATCCCCCCTAACTGTGTCACACGGGCAGAAGGGAAGGTGGTCCCCTTCTCCACACTTTGACTTATATTATCCTACTTGGTTCTATTTCTCCCTCTCTGGGAGCCTGGGCTCACCGCGCAGCAGCCCACCGCATCCATCCATCCATCCACCCGTCCCTCCTTCGCGGCCCCGCACATATACCCTCGAGGCTCTGCTCTCTCTCACCACGCAGCGGCCCTCCACATCCCTCCCTCGCTGCCCCGCACATATACCCCCGAGCCTCTCCTTGACCAACTAACCTAAATACTATAAACACACTACTAACTGTAAACCTACACTAAAATACACTATGCTAACAATACAATTCGACAAATTACTAGCTATTCTCTCTGCTCTACTTCTCTCTCTGCTCTGATCCAACCTACTCGCTATCAGTTTGATAACTGCGGACAGAATGGTTTTATAGTAAGGGGAGGAGTAAAGGGAGGAGGGCAGGCTTTAGTGCCTCATTCGCCTCGAAAAAGAGTCATTCGCCTCCAATGTAATGTAATGTAAATTCAAATGTAGTAACCAAGTTTCAAGCTGTAGAGGGCACTCCATACCACATTTTTAAAATAAATGTAGATTTTCAACAGTTTGCACTAAACTGTCAAGATTTTGAGCAGGATCAGTCAGTAACACTACTATACAACCAGAAACAATGATTATCAGCTGAAAAAATGGTTTTAGGGTTTAGTTACTCTTTAAAGTTATGCATAATTAAGGGAAGAGTCACAAGCTGTGTTTCCATCCAAAAGTGATTTGAATCATTGGGAAATGCGCATTAAAAGAAATATGAATCCTGTGTGTTTCCATTAAATGTACGGACTTTGGTGAAAACTACGAACTTGCACGAGTTTTCCGCAGAACTGGAAACAAAACAAGTCTCGCATTCTTCTTCTTCTACGTTTTCTGGCGGTTGGCAACCAGTTTATAAATGCATTACCGCCTTCCCGACCCGGAGTGTGGATATCACCATGGAGAGAGGTGCGCTGCGTCAGACTTAATTTGAACATAACTGTTTCCATCCCCCATTTTGCGAATCAACATTTTTTCGAATCAACCAAAACCCGGCTAAAGCGAGCGTATTTTAGTTTGTGCGAATCATGGGATTTTAATTCGAATTTTGGCGTTTCCATCATAATTTTCCGATACGATACTTCTAGATCTAAACAGGCTGATGGAAACATGGCTACTGACTGTGTTCTGATAGTGTCCTCAGCTTCTCAGTCAGATCTGTCTGGCGCGTTACAAACTGATGCCACCTGACGGCAGGGATGGGCAGTATTTCTATTACTTGTATTTAAAATACCTATTTCAATTACATTTGAGTATTTTGTAATTTGTATTTGATAAGGCCGATAAAAAGCAAATGTAATTTGTAACAAAATACTTTTGAGTGGAGTATTTTGTATTTAAAATACTCAAAATACTTTCTCCACGAACCAAAAAACAAAAATAATAGGCTACACATTCTTATAATATTGGATGTAACAATACTTTTTACTTTTTTTTTTATATTTCTATCTATATGTTTTTTTTAAACAACAACGGCGCAGTGGTGTGGTGGTTAGCACTGTCGCCTCACAGCAAGCAGGTTCCTGGTTCAATCCCAGGTGTGGGAGCCCTTCAGTGCAGAGTCTGCATGTTCTCCCTGTGTCAGCGTGGGTTTCCTCCAGGTGCTCTGACATGTTCTCCCTGTGTCAGCGTGGGTTTCCTCCAGGTGCTCTGACATGTTCTCCCTGTGTCAGCGTGGGTTTCCTCCAGGTGCTCCAACATGTTCTCCCTGTGTCAGCGTGGGTTTCCTCCAGGTGCTCCAGCTTCCTCCCACAGTCCAAAGACATGCAGGTTAACTGGTGACTCTAAATTGTCCGTAGGTGTGAATGTGAGTGTGAATGGTTGTCTGTCTCTATGTGTCAGCCCTGTGATAGTCTGGTGACCTGTCCAGGGTGAACCCTGCCTCTCACCCAGTGTCAGCTGGGANAGGAGAGGCATCTCTGTGCAAAGTTTCATGTCTCTACAACATACGGGGCATGAGATATGCCCATTCAAAGTTTGACGTTTCAATGGGTTGCTATAGCGCCCCCCTTTGGCCAATTGATGTAATATTGCTTCATTGGCATCCTCCCATGACCCTCTACCCCTGTGCCAAATTTTACATGGATTGACCAAGTCAGTGAGGAGAAAAACGTGGAACACACACACAGACAGAACACACAGTTTTCATCATTATGTAGTCAGATTACGTAGTTTTCATTTTAAAGATTCAAGATAAATGGTGAGTCTCATCCTATCTCATAAATGCAAGAATATAAGGCTGTCAGACACATTATAGGTAGGTAACACTGCTGTGCTTGGTTGCTGTGCTTCCTGATTTCTACATTTCCTCAGTAACATTAGAGCACAGGGTTACTTTATTTTGTTCCTTTTTTTGCTGCACTGCGCTGCCAGTAACTAGACAGAGCCACCTGACATTAACCTTCCATCTCACGGTCTCACTCTGCCCAACCAATTCTCACACCAGCAACGAACGCTAGAAAAAAGGCCGGCAGCTGAGTATTTTAAATTAATTTCAAACAGCCGGCGTGTCCGGTGGGCAGAGTTGAAGTTTGCAGCCAGACTTCAGAGAGGGGAGAGGAGAGGAGAGGAGAGGGGCAGACTCCGCCTGACTGGCGTACTGGTTGAGTGAAATGGAATGCAGCCAAATGTTTCTGTGGAAAACTACTCTCTGATTGGTGCACAATCCATATTTGCGCTTTGATTGGGCAGCTCTAGTCTCACAGTCAGCCGACTACAGCAGGGTTGCCAACTCTCATGCGTCTGCCGTGACTGTCACTCTCTCACTCCCATTTAAGAAATCTCACTCCACCGTCGCCAAGTCTTTTTTTTTTTTTTTTTTTACGTCCAGGCCATTGTGTGGCTTGACCGGGCCACATACTGGATGCCCACTGGATCCGTTGCGTGTGCGATTCGGCCGCGGCACGGACTCGCTCCGTCCCGTGCCGGGCGTCAGTGTCCACTGGAACTGTAATTGGAATTGTCGGATCTCGAGATCATAATGTCACGCGATAATTTTCAGAAACCCTGGAGGTATAAAGCAGGGCTGGACTGGGACAAAAAAATGGCCCTGGCATACGCACACACTACGCTATTACCAAAATTAAGATGAAGATAGGATTTCACTGTGTGAATTTCAGAATTTTCTCGGGGGAGAACCCTCCTTAAAATCTTTCTGTTTGTCACAACAGGACATATTACTGGATTTTTTAAGCAGATGACGATACTACCATAGATTCTTTTAAGGTTAAAAAAAACAACGTACCGTCATGTCCATGTATGTTCATGACCACGCACGCACAAGCAGATATTACATCACAAGCTAAAAGCCTGATGATAACCCTGAGTTAGCCAAAAGTAGCGGCAATTTAAATAACATTAATTAGCTAAAAGTTATGGATGACGGCTGAAACAGTTAGCTAAAAGTAACTGATAAGCAGATAAAATAGCATTAGTTAGCCAGAAGTAATGGACAACAGTTAAAACAGTTGATAACGGTTAAACAGTTAGCTAAACATAAGTGATAAGCCATTATAATAGCATTGGTTTGCTAAATTTATTGGATAATGATAGAAACAGTTAGCCTGAAGTAACTGACAGCAGTTGAAATAACATTAGTTAGCTAAAAGTTATGGATTACAGTTGAAACATGTATTCATAGTAAAAAAAACCAACAAAAAACAAAATACTCTGTTTGGAGGGCCACCTGGAGGGCTGGATGACCACTACCCCTTGATCCCACAAAAGACATTGGACACCATACCCTATGCAGCAGCACTAAAATCGGAGTGGTAGGGCAAAAGTAGAGAAGTGAGAATTGGGCCATTATCTTAGTGTGACAGGTTTTATTGGTTTACATACCTCTACAGGACTTCATGCATGGTCAAAGTCCATTACTTGCGATCCCTGCTTTTCCTGTTGCCTTCGTTCAGAGGAAGGTCCAGATACAGCTAAAAAACAAAAGCCATCCAGCCAGGATTCAGCAACTGTGAGACAAATCAAGAGTTGTATCCCTCAGTGCTGCCACAAACACTGTTTTCACTCTTCATTGCAAAGACTCAACCCTGTCTCCTTGATATGGAGCGACTGATTCATACACATGCTTCACACCTCACTGCCAGCTACAAAACACACCCTCCAGTCTGGCGGTCTGTATTAGCTGCAGGCGAGCGGCTGAGGAAGGGGGCGGAGTAAAGATTGTCCCTCGCTGTGGGGAGAGGGGAGAGGGCTTCCCCGGAGGTCGGCCTCTTTACCTGGTCCCTCTCCTCCACACTTAGACTTATTTTCATTGTGCCGATGGTGGCTTGGAAATCCCCCCTAACTGTGTCACACGGGCAGAAGGGAAGGTGGTCCCCTTCTCCACACTTTGACTTATATTATCCTACTTGGTTCTATTTCTCCCTCTCTGGGAGCCTGGGCTCACCGCGCAGCAGCCCACCGCATCCATCCATCCATCCACCCGTCCCTCCTTCGCGGCCCCGCACATATACCCTCGAGGCTCTGCTCTCTCTCACCACGCAGCGGCCCTCCACATCCCTCCCTCGCTGCCCCGCACATATACCCCCGAGCCTCTCCTTGACCAACTAACCTAAATACT